TGGACTTTAGTTGAACCGCCTTCTAGACATAATATTATTGGAACCAAGTGGGTTTTCAAAAATAAACAAAATGAGGATGGTTTGATTGTGAGAAATAAAGCTAGACTTGTTGCTCAAGGTTTTACTCAAGTTGAGGGTCTGGATTTTGATGAAACTTTTGCTCCTGTTGCTAGAATTGAGGCAATTAGACTTTTGTTGGCTTTTGCTGCTTTAAAAGGTTTTAAATTGTATCAAATGGATGTGAAAATTGCTTTTCTAAATGGTTTTATACAGGAGGAGGTTTATGTCAAACAACCACCAGGTTTTGAAAATCCTGATTTTCCCAACCATGTTTTTAAATTGTCTAAAGCTTTGTATGGTTTGAAACAAGCTCCTAGGGCATGGTATGATAGGCTTAAGAACTTTTTGCTTGCGAAAGGTTTTATAATGGGAAAGGTTGACAAAACGCTTTTTGTTCTTAAGCATGGTGATAATTAACTTTTTGTTCAGATTTATGTTGATGATATCATCTTTGGTTGTTCAACTCATGCTTTGGTTGTAGATTTTGCTGAGACTATGCGCAGGGAATTTGAGATGAGCATGATAGGTGAGTTATCGTACTTTTTAGGATTGCAAATTAAGCAAACACCTCAAGGTACTTTTGTGCATCAAACGAAGTATACAAAAGATCTTTTGAGACGGTTCAAGATGGAGAATTGCAAGCCAATTTCAACACCAATTGGTTCTACAGCTGTGTTGGATCCTGATGAAGATGGTGAAGCTGTTGATCAAAAAGAGTATAGACGTATGATTGGATCTTTGTTGTATCTAACTGCTTCTAGGCCAGACATACAATTTGCTGTGTGTTTGTGTGCACGCTTTCAAGCTTCTCCTCGTGCTTCACATCGTCAAGCGGTCAAGCGTATAATGAGGTATTTGAATCATACACTTGAGTTTGGAATTTGGTATTCTCCTTCATCTTCTATATGCTTAAGTGGATATTCCGATGCTGATTTTGGCGTTGTAGAATTGATAGAAAAAGTACTAGTGGAACATGTCATTTTCTTCGTACATCATTAATTGTATGGTCTTCTAGGAAACAATCTAGTGTTGCTCAATCAACTGCTGAATCTGAATATGTTGCTGCTGCTAGTTGTTGTTCACAGATTCTTTGGCTTTTTATCTACTTTAAAAGATTATGGTCTTACTTTTGAGAAAGTACCTCTCTTTTGTGATAATACTAGTACTATCAATATTGCTAAGAATCCTGTTCAACACTCACGCACAAAGCACATTGATATTCGTTTTCACTTTTTGAGGGATCATGTTAAGAAGGGAGATGTTGAATTGCAGTTTTTGGACACCAAGTTGCAAATTGATGATATTTTCACTAAACCTTTGGATTCTAATCGCTTTGCTTTTCTTCGTGGTGAATTGGGCATAATTCATCCTTTTGGCATGGTTTGAGAGGGAGTTTGTACCTCATGGTTTTATCAAGCAATAATATGACAATGAGAAAAATTGATAAAAGAGAGCTTTGTTTATGCATATGGTATTTTCTTGTGCATGCTAGCAATACTTTGAAGGTTTATTTGTCTCTATCATAGCTTGTATGTATTCTAGTCTTTTCATGAGATTTAGATTTTGGCTTTAAGGGAGATGATGCATGACACTTAAAGTCTACTTGAATTAAACAAATATGCAATGTTGATGCTAGCATATGGTTTGATTTATAAATGCTCTATATATATGCTTTATTGACTTGTTATTCCTCAAATAGCTTTAATTGCTCATTGTGAAAAAGAGAATAAAAATATAAAAAAAATGAATACCGAATCCTTATAAACAGTCTTGACGACAAGGACGTATTCGATATGAGCAAAATAATGGGTGTCGAATCCCTAGAAACAGTCTTGACGACAGGGATGTACCCGGAATAAAAGAGAAAAATATGAGCAAAAAGGCTCAAGGAAAGAAAAAATTGAAAAAAAAATATCTTGGTTATTCTGTGCTATAGTTTATTTGGGAAAGAGTGATAAATACAATAGGTATATGTGTTTAGTGTTTATTCTTCAACCTATGTGCTTGTTAAGATGTTGCATTATAAATCGTATGAAATCATGAATTTCGATTGTTGATTCAAGCTTAATTGTAAAATCTTTGGTTCATAGTTATACTTTAATGCATGCTTGTTATATTATAGATGGGTTTATCTTCTTTTTATTGCAACACATGACATGATATGCTATATGTATGCTGAACTCTCGAACATTAATGAACATAATTCCTATGCTTGATGAAATCATTGTCAAAAGGGGGAGAAGTAATGTGATTATTTCATGATTATGACTTCTAGATGGATACTATACGTATGTAATACTGTTGTTTGCTACTAATGAGTCAAGTTGGAGATAGCTTGGTCTCGGAATATGGTTTCTTTGTTTATTTCATGTGTAGGTGACTCGATGCCTCGGGAGAGTATTTGCGGTGATGGACCGGGAGTCGGCTTGGGGATAAGACGATGTCCGTGGTGGTCAGAGATCATGCGGGATACTTAGGCTAGAGTTGATGCACGTGATTGATGGAGATTCCATATGGCATACGATGGAGGTATTGTGTGCGTATGGGATGCGGAGTCGAATTTGGAAGGAGTCCAAATATGGTACGATTGGTTATGTAAAGTTTTTTTCTTGTACTAGAGGGTTTCCTAAGGTGTTTAGGACTCTTAGTATGAGTTTGGTTCGTGGCTTTAGGCTGCCTACCTCATGTATAAATAGAGGGGGAGCGTGAGGCTTCCCGGTATCGCTTCTGAGTGCAATTGAGTTGAGTTTTGAGTTAGGGTTTCGAGTTTAGCCAAAATTTTAGTAAGGAGTGCTGTAGGTGTACTTTGTAAACACAGAGAGAATCAATAAAGTCATCATCTACTTTTAGAGTTCTTCAATTTGTGTTTCACCGGGTTTTGGCGGTCTAACTGGCGACACACCAGCGGTCAGACCGGGGTGACAACAGGTGTGGCAGGGATTCCAGGGCGGTCCAACCGGAAGATCAACACCAGTCAGACCGGCGGCTACGCTTCGATCAGACCGGCTAATCTACTCCGATCAGACCGATCTCATCGAAATTGAGGGTAACTTTTATTTCCACTAAAAGTTTTCGGTTTTTGAGTATACCAACCATTCACCCCCCTCTGGTTGGCTTAGTTCTTGTGATTCTAACCTATAACCTTAAGTTTAAGATATTTTATTAGATAACTCAAATGTATTATATTAGTTGCCAGCCCCACCACTTCAATTTTCTGATAACAATTCATATTTGGTCAATTGGCTTTCCTTTTATTCATGCCAGCAGGCACCTATATCTCATTACTTTAGAGCAGGTACAATAGCAACTATAAGCCAGCTATAAGCACATTTCGAGAAGATAAAAAAGGGGAGAGAAGAGTAGCAGGCTAGATTTATAGCCACCTGCAGCATGTGCTCTAAGATGCATGTGCGTATGACAAGTAGAACTAGTTATTAATTGTGTACTATATGTTATAGGTAACTATTTTATTAATTAACTATAAATGATTTAGAGCCAGTAGTTCGCTATACTAGCTCTTATAAGTAGCCCCTTTTTTGTTAGCATGCTCAACGCAACATTAATTTCTATACATTCAACTGGCTAGTATTCTTTCAGTTGGTAATAAGAGCGAGGCTAATAGTATAGCCTGCTGGCGGCTATAGTCATCTCTCTTTCTCTCTTATTTTATAGCTAATGCTACGGCTAACTAGCATTAACTGGTCTATACTAAGATGCGTTGGGAATGTTTTAGGATCGAACCAGATCAAATAAACCTATCATAGAGGGGTGAATGGTAGGAAAAATAAAAAACCCAAAATCTTTAGTAGAATAAAAGATTTACCTCGAACGGAGTAGATGACGAAGTCTTGTCATCGCTGGTCACAATGCCCGCCACCTACCAGTAAGACTGCCGTTGTCTGACTAGTCAGACCGTGTGCACACCTACAGTTAGACCGCCACACTCCCGCCAATTAGACCACCGCCTTGCCAGCGGTTAGACCGTCGGGACCCAGAAAAACACCGGTAGATGACAAACTCGAAGATATAGATTGAATCTTAACTTTATTGCATCAACTATCAACTAGTGTTTACAAAGTGCACCAACAACACTCCTCACCAAAATCTCGAACTAAACTTGAAACCCTAACTTTCTCTCAACTTAAGTCTCTCTACGTCAGTCCCGAACTAGGGTTCAATGAATGGAGAAATTCATCTTTCCTTTTTCCATGAAAAAAGGGGCAGGAAAAAACCGATACCGGGAGGCCACACCCTCCCTCTCTATTTATACACCCAGCCGATCTAACCGCCAGGGGTCAATCGAAATCGCTCACTTCATAAAATCAATCGTTTATAAAATCTCCAAAATATTATTAGCAAACCACCAATGTTTTTATCACATAATCTAAATCAACTCATTGATTTTGCAAATGTGAGTTGAAGGAAGCATAAGCTCACGGGGACGAGATAGGTAGAGGTGAATCAATTAGCATAAATTCATTGATGACTTTCGGTGCAAAGAGTGTAACTACATTCTACTCAATCTCCTTATTTGTCGTGCCATTTGAGCTTTGAGGAGAGGGTTATTGTGCCAGTATCGTGCCTGGTGCAACGAGAGCTCTTATTTTCCCGGGAACCCACATGTCATCGTAGGAGCTTACACGAAGAGAAGGCCAACATGGGCATTCATTCTTTTTTAGTAAATTTCACAAAACTAGTCGTATGAGCTACGTAGACGTCACGTCAGCCAAAAAAACAGGCACCATACTGCCGAGGGATCTCATTTGCACCGTTTTGTAAGTTGAAGGTTACGTTATACTTGATTTTGCATTCAAGGGACGAATTTCGGACTTAGCGACAAATTGACGTTCTTAGAGTGAACTTATTCCAAAACAATTCCTATCCCTTCCACCAATCTTCCTACCTACTATTTCAGTCCCATTGGCCCAATAGCAAAAAAAAAAAAAAAAAAAAAAAAAAACACTATTCTAACCCTACCTCCTCCCATTGGATCCATTCCCGACTCCCGAGTAGCGACCGAGGAGGCGAGGAGCGACGCGCCGGCGCCGTCGTCGGTCGCCCTGCCCCCCGCCGCCGCCCGCCGCCCGCCCGGCGCATCCCCCGCGTCCGGCGCACTCACGCGCTAACCGCCAGCGGCCAGCCGGGCGCCGCCGCGCCGGCAGCAGCCAGCAGCGCGCCCGGCCGCGGCCTCCCCTCCAGCAGAGCAGCACGGCAGGGCAGCAGGCTCCCACTCCAGTCCACACCTCCACGGCTCCACCGGCCGACGAAGGTAACTCTTCCCTTCATGGCTAATACAGGATTTAATTCATAGTTGAATCTAGCCTGTAGGATATTGTTCGTGGTTGAATATTTTTGATTTACAATTTGAATCCAGGAATGATTCAGGGTTGAATATATAGTATATTGTTGTTTTGTAGGTTTGAAACATGAAGAAAAAAAGTGCTCCCACACCCCTTCCGCCGGAGACCGCCAACACCTCGCCCGCTCCCATCGGCGCCACCGCCGGAATCCGTATGTTTCTCTCTCCCCTTTTCTCCCCTCCCGCCCTCTCACTCTCAGGACTCTTCTTTGGTCTGAACAAGAACCATGGACTGTTCATTCCAGCGCGCTAACCACAGGTTTTGGTTCCTCTCCACTTTTTAAATGGAGATTGCTTAACGTATTTACTTTACTGGAGAGCATTCACCATCATACATGATGCATTGATGCGCCTGGGATATAGCTAATTACTACTTCTACTACATTTGTTGCCAAAACATTACTTGCATTATGCCATCTTGGTAATGCTATTTTCTGAGTTATGGTTTGCTTGATTTGGCCCAGGGGTTGAGAACTGCTACGTCTTCAAGAGCCGGCTGCAAGAGTATGCGCAGAAAGCCGGCCTCCAGACTCCAGAGTATCATACCTCCAAGGAGGGACCTTCCCATGAGCCTGTCTTCAAGTCCACAGTGGTGATTAATAACACCAGCTATGGCTCCCTGCCCGGATTCTCCAACAGAAAGGCTGCAGAACAGTCTGCTGCTGAAGTTGCCCTCATGGAAATTGTCAAGTCCATACCAGCCAACGCAAACATCCCAGCTGTTGTAAGTCACTCTCTGCTCTACTTGTGTTCTCTTTTGTTTAACTCTCAACACGATGGAATACCTGGGGCCTGTGGGACCTGCTAGTGTAGTACAAGATAAGTAAAAGTGTTGGGATATTCAACTTATTTCAATAAAATCCCTGCTTTTCAATTTGCGCGAATCTGAAGAATGAGATAGTCACTCAGCTGATTACTCCAGAACGAATCAGGGCTTTCGAGTTTGGATAGAGTTAGGTCCTAGAGAGCAAGAAGAGGCTGGTATTTTCATAGAAGGGATTGTGAAAGCTTTGATGTCAGTCAGCACGGTCTTATTGTTGTCTACCATCATGATTTGTTTGTATCTTTTCAAGCTCATAATTCTACTAAAGTATTGTATGAATATGACCAGAAATTGGTTGTTAAAGAGCTTCCAAACTCAATCTTCCCCCGTTTGAGAACCATGAACAATTCAAACATCAAAGTACACGTATTAAGTTTTGTAGTCCTTTCCAAGGCCAAGACTTAGATAAATTGGATGCGCTTTTAGTTTTGAGTCCTTTGGAAATAGCCTGATTGAGAAACGCCCAGGGGTCTTCTGGCTAACTCCACAAAGTGGTGGGCTAGCCGGCCTGGGTTCGAAGCCTCACCCCTTCTATTTATTTGATATTAGGTCCTTCCCTAATATTCACGTTTTTGAATTAGCCTGACTAAATTAGCAAAGTGTTATAATCTCTTACCTGGATTTCTATGTTCTTAATGCATCTTAATATGTTTTCCAGCAAGAGACTGGCTTGTGCAACATAGGAAGTCAGCAACTAAACCAGAGGGAAATGCACCGAGAAGCTGACCACCACCACTGCCTTCTGGCAACCCTTGCACGTCACCGCCGTCTTGCTGCCGCTGCCACCCTCTTCTCCTCCACTCTCCGCACTGCTCGCGCCCTCAACTCCCTCCTCGCTGCTATCTGCTCTTCCCCGGCGTTCCTCCGCTTCGCCCCCAAAGTCCTCCTGCTTGCTGCCCCGTCAGTCTCCCCTAACGCCACCAGCTTCCACATCCTCACCTCCACGCTCTGCCAGGCCCACCGCCCCACCGCCGCCGCCGACCTCCTTTGCTGCATGCCCTCGCTTCTACTTGACCCTGACCCGGCCAGTTGTCGTGCTGTCCTTTCCTCCCTGTGCCAGTATGCTTCCGCTCAGGATGCAGTAGCATTCTTGGACAAGATGTGCCATTGGGGCATTTCCCCAAGCAGATCTGACTACCACGCCGTCTTCGACGCACTTCTGCAGGAGGGAAAGGTAGCGGAGGCATATGAGGTCATGAAGAATAAGATGGGATCTAACGGTGTGGCACCTGCACTTGCGTACTTCAAGTTAATAATGCAAGCTTTCAGTGAGACCCCGGAGTTCGATTCTGTGGAGGAGGGGTTCGATGAAATGCTCCTGAGAGGGCTGGTGCCGGACGTGGATGTGTACAATGTGTACATCAGTGCGCTATGCAGGAAAGGTGACCTTGCTGGAGCACGGCGGATGATGACCTGCATGGAGCACGCCGGGTGCCCACCGGATATAAGGACATTTGGCGTGGTAGTCTCCGGGTGCATGTCTGCTGGGGACATGGGCACAGTGAGGGAGTTGGTGCAGGAGGCAATAAGGCGTGGCCTGCGGTGGGATCCAACGGCATTGTCGGAGCTGATAGGCCTGCGGCAGGCAGGTGGTGGTGCCACACAGGCACATGAGTTACTGTTGGAGCCACTATTTGTGCACGATGCACTAGTGTTGGGGCAGCTGATTGGAGCATTGTGCAAGCAAGGGCTATTGGGACCTGCTGCTGTAATAGATAATTATTAGAAAGCATTGGAATGGTCTTTTTGTTTCATACAGTTATTGGTCTTGAATTCTCGGAAATCTGAAGAACGGCATAAGAATCATAAAAACAGAGACAGAAAAGGCAAACCATGGACTATAACTCCAGGAATACTTGGAGCTTTCGGGTTTGTAGATCACTAGATTGTTGGCTATAGTTAGGACCCAGTGAGCAAGAAGGGAGCGTATTTGTATAGATGGGCCAGGTAGGAGGAGATTGCAGACAGTCTTTATTGTTGTCTTCTGTCATGATTTATTTGTATTTTCTCAAGCTCACAACTCTACTAAGTTATTCCCATGAATACAATAGGAAATTAGTCGTTTAATAGCTACTGAACTCATACTGCCAGGCTTTAGATAATTCGGATGTTCTTTAGTCCTTAGGAATCAGGCTGACTAAAATTAGCAGTGTTATTATCTCTTTCCTGGATCACTGTGCATTTTTTTACACATATTAATATGTTTTCAGCAAGAGACTGGGCTGTGCAAGAATCTTCTTCAGGAGTATGCACAGAAGATGAATTATGCCATTCCATCTTATATTTGCACCAAACCAGCCTCAGGCTTGGCTCCTTTCTTATGCACTGTAGAGATTGGTGGAATACAATATATTGGTGCTGCAGCCAGAACAAAGAAAGATGCAGAGATAAAAGCTGCCCGAACTGCTCTTCTGGCAATCCAAGGTATTGTGCTGTTCTTCTTCAAGGGTCTTTTTTTTTTAATCTTATCCAGGCTATTCACTGTTGAAATTAATATTGCTATGTTCTTTTTTGTGTGTTATGGTGAACATTGGGTCATGCATGGGCATTGCTTGGTGCAGGTCAATCAGAGGGTTCTGCAAATGGTGCGACAAAATATATCGTAGTTCCTGGTAAAAGGGTAGGTAAGGAGGTAGAAAAAAGGCCAATTGAAACCCCCAAACCACTTAAAGCAAAGAAAGGTGGTTTCAAGAAGAAATGGAACAAGAGGAAATTCATGAAGAAGGATGGTCAAGCTGTTGATGTTGAAAAGGATGAAGCTAGAGTGGCTGGAGATGCTCATGATTCTGATGTCCTAATGCAGCCAACGGTAATAACACAGGAGGCATCTTGTGGCACTTTGTTCCTGCAACCTTGTGAGGAAGCTAAAAGAGTAGAAGATGAGCCACCTAGAGATATTGAAATGGTACAACCTGATAAGGAGAACCAACACAGTGACGCTGCATTGGTGCAACCTGATGATGAAGCTAGAGTAGAACAGGAGCCATCCAGAGATATTTCAGTGGTGCAACCTAATGAGGAAGCTATAAGTGCTAAGCAGGAACCATCCATCGATGCTGCAACCCTGCAACCTAAAGAGGAAGCTGTAAGTGTAAAGCCAGAAGGTTTTAGTTTATCAACACCTGAGGTAGCCTGAACAAATAGAACATGAAAATTAGGGGCAGCTATTGATTGGGTTAAGAGGGTGGCGTACTAGTAAATATCTTTTATCCATTTTGTTCCACATATTATTGTTACTAATTTGATTGATTATGACGACACTTTCAGTTGTAATTGGGGTTCTCAAGTCATGCAATGGTTGATGTTACCTTATCTAGTAGTGCTATGTAAGCAGGACACTCAACTTTATCAACGAGGGGCTCAGGTGCGGGGCTAAAAAATGCGTCATTTTATTGAATTTATCATATGTTAATCTATACAGATGGGGCATAGTAGTAGTGTTGCTATGTTGTTGCACCATTTTGCTGCATGGTTAAAAGCAGCATGGCGATCCCCGACTCTCGTATATGCATGTTTCAGATAACAAGTCCATCTCATCTTTCTTATCAGAGCCAGCCTGTTGTTGGGATGGTCCTTGAATCTTTAATCTAGTAGGGTGGATTTATCCATGTGACAGTATTTGCTAATTACTGATTGGCAGTTTGGCACCATGTTGGCAGAGAGACTTAGTTTCAGGCGAGTTTGGCTCAGAAGTTAATAGAAAGAGAAACATAGTTTCAGGAGTTTGGCAGCGAAGTTAATAGAAAGAGAAAATATAGTTTCAGCCGAGGTTGGCGGGCAAGTTGATATGTGAAAATGGTGAGTGGGGGCAATGGACAAAACCAGCATTACGGTAGTATAGTCATAATATTACAGTTTTTGGTTATCCAAGGTAATGCTATCATTATAGGCATATCAGATTTCCACCCACATGTTGCTCTAGCATGTGAGCATGCGGTAGTTTAAGGGCTGTAATTCTGCAATGGAATTATGATGATGGATGGGAAGCAGTGCATACTGGAAACAAATGACAATTAGGAACCTTGAGACCCCATCTGGGATAGTTTTGTGAGTTGTAATTGCTTTCGGGCAAAACAAATCACTTGTACAATGCAGATGTTTGGCTGCCCCATATATCCTTTTGGACATCGTGGAAATGCTTGGTTCCAACAATAGAACACTCATGTTGAATAAACTATTTCTTTCCTCTTTAGGTGACTGATGTCCCTAGTGGGATTTGCATCTTATTTTTTATTTTTATTTATCTAGGGTGGACCATTGTGTTGAACTTTAGTAAACCAGTTTGTGGCATGTGCTTCATAAAAAAAAAGAGAATATTCTAAATTAATATGACATGATGGAGAGCCCATGTACCAATTAATTGTTCCATGGTTGTGGTCAGTTTTATCTAGAAGTAGCAGATCAGCAAATAGCTTTGCTTTTCAGATGACTGTCTACGTTGGTCAGAAATCTGTCCCAATACCTTTTCTTTTCTTCTGGATGCTTCTTTTGGATATTCTATACTTCTATTTGTATTTCTATTCTTTTTATTTTCTGGTGTACTGTTGGATGTTATTGCTTTTATGCTATTTACTAATAGTGTTTTGGTAGTGCAGATGAAAACTGGCTGTGTGGCACTTGTCTTGTGTTTAAACATTAGTGTTGATCCGCCGGATGTGATCAAAATCTCCCCTTGTGTAAGAAAGGAGTGCTGGATAGGTAAACATTTGGTCATATGTATATGCTTGAATTTTAGTCAGCTGAAAAATATACGTCTGCCTGCAGTTGACAGTTTTATTTCATGTTTATGGGATGCAACTCCAGTATTGTTGTATTTCTTATCTCCACATGCAAATGTTAGTTAGAACTCATTTAAGCTATATCTTTTGTTGACTGCTCTAAATGCCAAACAAGGGTGATTATTTTGTAATCAGAGGTTATTGCAGCAAAGACTGGTCTGACACATGCTATTCTGTAAAATTACTGTTAATTTTCTGTTTGATTATAACCAAATGAGTATTAATTTTTCTGTGTTCTGTAGTTGATTATATGCATATAAAAACGTTGATCTGTGAAAGCTTGAGGATTGGTTGAGGATTAAAATTTTTGGGTCTGCTTTATAAGATGCTGTACCTTTAAGTTGTGGAGGATAGGGACTTGATCAATAAAATTTATTATTTGTTGATTGTTCTAGAGTGAGAAAGCTTATCTAAAATAAACATGGTGATTCATCTTTGTGCTCCTAATGCATTTGTACAGTTGCTTTGAGTTTTTCTCATAGCTCTTTCATTTATTTATCTTCAGATCCATTTTCTATGGCAGCTCCAAAAGCCCTTGAAACTATTGGGAAAACATTACACTCACAATATGAGCGCTGGCAGCCAAAGGTGAGGCACTTCTTTTGCTGTTTATAGACTTTATTATGATGACATTACTTACGTCATGCCCGAATGATGCTTGCAGGCTCGTTACAAGCTTCAGCTGGATCCGACATTAGAGGAAGTTTAGAAGCTGTGTAATACTTGCCGTAAATTTGCTTGAACAGAGAGAGTCCTTTTTAATTACAATGGTCATGGTGTACCAAAGCCTACAGCTAAAGGGGAGATTTGGGTATTTAACAAGGTGAATGTTGCAAAGACACTGCATAAGCTGCTGCATTGTTTATCCTTGTGTGTTTTTGACGAAGTGCCCTTTTTACTTTTTGGTCCAGAGTGATAGTACTAGATAGTTGAAGTTGAAAGTGATAATGATGATTTCCTATCTGTTTCTATTGTTAGACTGTTTATAATATACTTCACTATGACTACTCATGTTCACTTTAGCGCCTAGACTGGAGTTCTAGCTCGTCTGCATCTTCATCGAAGGACTGCATTCTCCTTGCAGCCTGAGAGGCGTTAATAGACGGGGCTGCTAGTGGGCGAGCACGGTGGCGGGCTGTGGGCGGAGCGGACGACAGGCGAGCGCGGCGGCAGGCAGAGCGGACGACGAGCAGAGCGGCGGGCAGAGCGGATGGTGAGCAGAGCACAGGGTTCACTATATCGGTTTAGAGTTTTTGATCGGGGTCACCAAAATCCCGAAATTTCAAAAATTTCGGTCCGAAATTTCTGAAATTTTGAACAAAATTTAGTTGAATTTGAACAAATATTATCCAAATTCATAAAAAAAATGAAAATTTCAAAAATTTTGGCCGAATTAATATCGTATCGGGGGTCACCGAAATGACCGAATTTCGGACCGAAATTTCCAACCCTGGCAGAGCAGTGGTGAGCAAGCGCGGCGGCGGGCTGCTGGCAGAGCGGACGGTGAGCGGAGTGGCGACGGGCGAGCGAGGCAGTGTGCCTGGGAGGCCGCCGGCGGGCGGCGCTCTTCTTCAGCGAACCTGGGAAGAAAGCATAAAATAACTAGGGGAAAAATCAAGCATGTGTGGGGTTACTTTTGTCGAATTAGAAAAACTGGAACTTACAGTTCTATGCTTTAATTTATAGCAAAAGCGTCAGACCACAAAGTTAAGTTTTGTGACACTAACGTAAACGTGATGTATTCCTCCATCAGAATAAAATTTTCCTAATAAAATGTCATCACCCATTTGCTACTTGAATATTACAACAAGAATCGGCCCATTGCACCAGTCCATCAGCTTGTAAACCGATCATAATCACAAGACAAAAATCTGTCAGACACTTTTGGTAGAGCACATGATTTTGCCAAGTCACCATTATGCTTTCTGCTATCCATAAATATTACTTCATATTTAGATAGGATGTGTCACATTCATCCAAAATATGTTATCTTTTGGGGCAAGGGAGTACTTCGCTTCTATGTCTAGTAGGAGGGCCAAGTGCAGTGGTAGGCTAGTTTGTGCAAAGGCAAACTTACTCGCAACTTGTGTATACCTGCAAGAGCAAACGACGAACTGAAGAGAACCATCTCAGCTTGCGGTGGGAGTTGGAAGCACTAGGAAATTCAGCCCAAGTACGTCATTTCTTCGGAGTGAGTGCAGATACAGCAGAGTTACGTGACTATGCGCATCGGCGGCTTTCTGCATTTTTGGTGATTCAGCTATCTGTACAACTCCTACGAGTTCACTCGAGGGAACACAACCAGGCAGCGTTCATGATCAGCTTAGCTCGTTATTCTAACCTGTCTCAAAATCTTCGAGTAGGATACTATGCGCAACAGTCTTATACTTTTAGAAATGATAGTCAAGACCTCTTGTTTCATTATAAATAACATGTTCCATTAGAATTACTAGCTAAAAACATTCTATATGGTTTAATGCTAGTCAATATAAAAGGGAGTTAGGGATTTGTCTTTTTTTTAATTTTTATATTTACTTTTTCTAAACAAATTATGGTTGTTTGTATTATGATAGAAACCGAGATATAATCCATTCCTATTATCTAAAAAAAACTAAGGGCCTATTCATTTTGAAGAAATTTCAACACATAGGGATGGAAAAAAATATGGAGGAATAGGAACACATCCACACTTTAATCTATAGGAATTTTTTCATGAGGTTTTAGTGAATGGAAAATTTCTATGTTCTCTCTACAACTTATAGAAAAGGAAAATTTTCTTTTTTCCTATATTCACATTTCACCGAATGGCAGTTTTAGGAATTAATCTTTTGAAATCCAACTCCTTTGAGATTTCTCCAAAACGAATCTGGCTGTGTTCTTTTGGATGGATGGGAATCCTTCTCCTCTAGCTAATCGGAACAACGGATTGATACATGATTAAACAAGTATCAACTAAAAAAACATAAAAATAGATTAATGTTATTTTTTAAAGCAACTCTCCTATAGAAAATTTTTAAAAAGTCTCACCGTTTAGTATTTCAGAACTGAGCGTTGAGCGTGTGAAAAACAAGTGAGTAGAAGTTGGGAAGAAAAGTAAACACCACGCCATTTTCGTTATTATGTGTTGGGAATCCTTCCTCTCTAGCAAGCAAAATGGAGCGGTAGTTTAGTACATGATTAATTAAATATAGGTAATGAAGCTTAGAAAATTGATTGATATGATTTTTAAAACAATTTGTCTATATTTTTTAAAAAGAATATACTGTATTGTTAGCAGTTTGGGAAGCGCGTGAAAAATGAGGAAGAAGTTAGGAAAAGAGAGTAGAACGCTGCCCTAGCCGTTTCAATATATTTTGTAGGAAGCAGATCAGCTGCCTGCAGGGTGGACCAAAGGTTTGATCGTGTACATATGCAAATGAAAACACATTTAAACATGGGTACGTAACAAATGAATTATGATAGAAGTTATATAAAAAGATAATTTTCTGTTCTATAATAATATTTTTGAGTTTTAAATAGATATTATGCAGATACGTATGTATGTTTCATATATATGTCCAAATTTATACGGATGTGATGAAGCCTGAGCTCCACGAGAGACACTCAAGACTGTTGTTGGCCCGATCTTTCAGTGAGTTATAGATAACTACGATTTGGGAGAAACGTTGACGACCTGACTACAACCGTACTAGGCATTGTTGTGTTGCGCCTTAGCGATCAATACACCTCTTCGTGGATTGTTGATCTTGCCGGTGCAGATCAACCTTATTCCTATAAGCAAATCGAAGAAACAAGCAAGAACAAGATAAAAGCAATCTGAATTGCAGATAGGAATTGAACACGAATGATAGGTTGGGGTTCCGTAACGAGTAAACCGGCGATCTAACCGATCACGGGATTACACGGCAAAATAGCAAAGCTAAACTTTAATCTAAACAAAAACCAAGAAACTCTAAAAGGGTACCTAACTATTAAAAGAGGTAGGAGGACGACCAAGGGCACTCTAGGGTCGTGCCCTACCTCGTTGGGGCGTACCCCACTTGGGCCCCACTTGAGACGGGGTCCCAAACAAAGTTACAAGCCCAAAGGCCCATGACAGGTGACGCAGCACCTTGTTTGTTCATCCGCGGATGACTTAGATGGAATTTGGCGATGAGGCTGGATCCGTTGGAAAGAAGACTCCGTGGGCTTTCCATCAAGTACTCACGAGCCGAAAACAGAGGTCGTATGCAAATTCGGCGACCGTTTGAAGTCAGCGGTGTAGTAGGTGGCCAAATCGGATTCCAGCACGTGGAACACTTGATCTTGTTATCATCCATAATCGTTCAAAGTCAAGTACCGTGCTGGTCCTAGGCTAGAACGTACTAGAGACGTGAGCCTAGATACAAACGATACCACAAGATAGCACTAGAAACAACTCAAGCATGCTCTGATATATAAAAGAAATCCCAATGATACAGCTGATTTTCTCTTTTCTTTCTTTCTTTTCTTTTTCTTCTTTATTTTTCTTTCTTTTCTTTTTTTCCTTTTTTTTGGTGCGGCTTTTCTTTTCTTTTTTGTGCACCTTTCTGCTTTTTTTTCTCTTTTTTTAAAGAAAAACTGACTCAAGGACCTCAATGTAAGGTTAAGGGACTCAAACATAAATATAAAAATTACAGGGACTCAAATGTAAAAGTCTAAACCCAAAATTAAAATTACACAAAAATGGAATGCTCTCGTCCTACATGTTCCGTTTTTGCAAACGGATATTGAATCGCGGATGACTTGGATGGAATTTGGTAATGAGGCTAGATCCGTTGGAAAGAAGACTCTGTGGGCTTTCCATCAAGTACTCACGAGCCGAAAACGGAGGTCATATGCAGATTCGGCGGCCGTTTGAAGTCAACAGTATAGCAGGTGGCCGAATCGGATTCCAGCACGTGGAGCACTTGATCTTGTTATTATTCATAATCGTTCAAAGTCAAGTACCGTGCTGATCCTAGGCTAGAACGTACTGAAGATACGAGCCTAGACACAAACGATACCACAAGATAGCACTAGAAATACACAAGATAGCACTAGAAATAACTCAAGCATGCTCTGATATATAAAAGAAATCTCAATGATACAACTGATTTTCTCTTTTCTTTCTTTATTTTCTTTTTCTTCTTTATTTTTCTTTCTTTTCTTTTTTTTCCTTTTTTTTGGTGCGGCTTTTCTTTTCTTTTTTATGCACCTTTCTACTTTTTTTTCTCTTTTTTTAACAAAAACCGACTCAAGAACCTCAATGTAAGGTTATAGGGACTCAAATATAAATATAAAAATTACAGGGACTCAAATGTAAAAGTCTAAACCCAAAATTAAAATTATACAAAAATAGAATGCTCTCGTCCTACATGTTCTGTTTTTGCAAACGAATATTGAATCCGACACCAAAAGAAAATTTTACCTGTGTTTGACACACCTGTACAGAAACGGAGTCAGGAGGGAGGGAGTCGGACTCACAAGTCCCGGCCGCTAGATTGGAAGGGAAGAGATCCCACTCGGCCTCGGTTTGGAAAGGCACCACGTAATAAACAGAAACAGACTCGTCACTTCTTTTTTATAGTTCTGCGTGGCCCTCCAAATAGAAACCAATCTACAAATTGTAGCACTCCATCCAAAAACCGATCTACTATCCCCTTTGTCTCTTCTTCCTCACCAGCAACATCACAGGAGCACCATCACGGCACACACCATCACGGCACAGCCACCGAACAGAAGCTATGCAACTCAAGAACTCAAAAACTAACCGACAGAAACTTCTGAAAACTACGAAAATAGAACCGTGGCAGCGAGCCAATTCTGTTTTCGTAGGTCCCGACGACAACAAAGACACGGTGGCGGTGACGACTGTGGTACAAAACGTGACCAGAACTCGAAACTCTAAACGAACTAGACGCTAAGACCAGCAACACGACGTGACGATGCAACACAAAATTCAACAAAGCAAAAACAAAAAAGAACACTGCAATGGCACAATATGGCTAGGTAAATGATACATTTTTTTTGTCTGGCTATTTTCTGGTTATGGGTAGATAAAAACTCACCGAGCAACGAAAGCTGTGATACCACCTAATGAACCCTGAGCTCCACGAGAGACACTCAAGGCTGTTGTTGGCCCGATCTTTCGGTGAGTTGTAGATAACTACGATTTGGGAGAAACGTTGACGATCCGACTACAACCGTACTAGACGTTGTTGTGTTGTGCCTTAGCGATCGATACACCTCTCCGTGGGTTGTTGATCTAGCCGGTGCAGATCAACCTTATTCCTATAAGCAAATAGAAGAAACAAGCAAGAACAAGATAAAAGCAATCTGAATTGCAGATAGGAATTGAACACGAATGATAGGTTGGGGTTCCGTAACGAGGAAACCGGCGATCTAACCGATCACGGGATTACACGAAAGCTAAACTTTAATCTAAACAAAACCCAAGAAACTCTAAAGGGGGACCTAACTATTTAAAGAGGTAGGAGGACGACCAAGGGCACTCTAGGGTCGTGCCCCACCTCGTTGGGGCGCACCCCACTTGGGCCCCACTTGGGCCGGGGTCCCAAACGAAGTTACAAGCCCAAAGGCCCATGATAGGTGACGCAGCACCTTGTTTGTTCATCCGCGGATGACTTGGATGGAATTTGGCGATGAGGCTGGATCCGTTGGAAAGAAGACTCCGTGGGCTTTCCATCAAGTACTCACGGGCCGAAAACGGAGGTCGTATGCAGATTCGGCGACCGTTTAAAGTCAGTGGTGTAGCAGGTGGCCGAATCGGATTCTAGCATGTGGAGCACTTGATCTTGTTATCATCTTGTTCACCTATGATGTGAGCAATGGTTGTACCTATAGTAGCCGTGGTCACATCAGGATGTTAGTAAATATAGTAAAACGAAGATAGTACTGGTGGCCATGGAGTGTTATAAATTACCTCACATTTTGTTCAGAACCCAACAACCAATATGCCTTCTTCAAAATCATCATTTGTCATTCTAGGCATATAAGGTTCGAAACGTCTAATGGGCGATCGATCGCCTGACCCATCAGGTAGCGATCGATCCCCTCCCCCCTCCCTCCTCCCTCCCTCCACCTGGTTTCCTTTTTTGGCACCGCATTACTTTCCTATTTTAGTAAATTTATGCACCTAAAGTTTATACACCTCAAATTTACACATCTAAAGTTTAGAGACCCAAAGTTTATAAGTCAAAAGTTTATATATCCGATTCAAATTTGAATTTGAATTCAATTTTTTTTATATATAGTATTTCTATACATCTAAAGTTTATACACCTAAAGTTTATAGACCCAAAGTTTATAAGTCAAAAGTTTACATACCCGATTCAAATTTGAATTTAAATTATATCTGATTCAAATTTAAATTTAAATTCAAATATTTTCTATATATATAGTATTTTTATACATCTAAAGTTTATACACCTAAAGTTTATAGACCCAAAATTTATAAGCCAAAAGTTTACATAGCCGATTTAAATTTGAATTTGAATTCAAATTTTTTATATATAGTATTTCTATATATAAATTTTTCTAAATTTTTGTTTTTTTAAAAAATTTTGTGTGGTTGTGTGGTGTACTGTAGTAGGAAGATAAGGACAGGAGGAAGGGGAGAAGAGAGAGGAGGTATTGCCTATAGGGGGAGGGGGGCGGATCTGATCGCTGGGTGATCGTCGCCTTGGCGATCGATCGCCCATTAGAACCCCCCCCATAAGGTTTAGCCAAAACTGAAACATAACTAAATTAGTCATGGAAGAAACTGCTGTTAAAACCATCCGGCAGGACCGGCCATGAGTAGAACGGTTTTAAGAGCTGAGGGCTACAAAATAGACTTTATTTTTTCCCTGGGCTAAGGACTAGTCCCATATCCTCTCGTTCACCTCCTTGGGCCTAAAATTACGCCGCCTCAGGTCGACGCGACGCCGATGCCGCCTTCAGCCTTCGCCCAAATCGACGGCGATGCGGCGGCGGCAGCGGCCGAGGCTGAATACCGGTGCACCGGCGCGCGGAGGGGGATTTCGTCGCCAGCGATGGTCCGCATTTCCTCCTCGCCGGCGGCTACTGCCTCCTACCTCGCCTCCAATCTCCTGCCGAAATGCCGCTCCCTCGCCGCCGTCAAGCAGCTCCACGCCCACCTCCTCCACCGCGCCTCCTTCCCTTACAACCACTTCCTCTCCAAGCTCCTCTCCCTCTTCACCTCCTCCTCCTCCTCCTCCGCCGCCGCCGCCGCCTCCGACTACGCTCTCCTGCTCCTCGCATCCCACTCCGCCCCCACCGCCTTCTCCTACAACGTCGCCATCCGCTTCTTCGCCTCCTCCCGTCCCCACACCTCGCTCCGCCTCTTCCTCCACATGCTTCGCTCCGCGATCCGCCCGGACTCCTACACGCTCCCTTTCCTCCTCCTCGCCGCCGCTCGGTACCCCGCCCCATCACTCGCCCGTGCCGCGCACGCGCTCCTTGGGAAGATCGGGTTGAATGGCCACGACCACACTGTCCACTCCCTCATCACGATGTACTCCTACCTTGATGACCCTGGTGCCGCACGGAAGGTGTTCGACGGAATTCCCACCCGGGACGTGGTCTCTTGGAACGCTATGATGAAGGCGTATGGGCGGGTGGGGATGAACGGTGAGGTAGGCAGGATGTTCCGGGACATGGTGAAGGAGGGCACGGTGGCGCCCAATGTGGTGACGGTGGCTGTCGTGCTAGCGGCATGCAGGGATCAGGGGGATCTGGTGCTTGGAAGGTGGGTGGAAGAGTGGTCATGGTCCGCACGGATGGAAATGGACTCTCTTGTTGGCTCGGCACTTTTGGGTATGTATGAGAAGTGTGGAGAGATTGCAGAGGCGCGGCGTGTGTTTGACACCATCATTGACAAGGATATCGTCGCTTGGAACGCCATGATTACTGGGTAAGAACACAGTATTCTCTTTGGTTATTACCTGAAATGAAGCTAATTAGTTTGTTTTTAGCTTGAGTGTTCATATATTCATTTAAAATTATGCAGATATGCGCAAAATGGCATGTCAAATGAAGCCATTTCCTTGTTCCACAGCATGAGGATAGCAGGCATGCGTCCAGATAAGATAACATTGGCTGGAGTCCTCTCGGCCTGCTCTGCAGTTGGAGCCCTGGAGCTAGGTTCTGAACTGGATGGTTACGCCTCACGCAGAGGTTTGTACAGCAATGTTTACGTCGGGACAGCCTTAGTGGACATGTACGCTAAGTGTGGCGATCTTGACAAAGCCATAGAAGTGTTTAGGAAGATGCCATGCAAGAATGTTGCCTCTTGGAATGCCCTAATTTGCGGTCTTGCCTTTAACGGGCGAGGTGATGAAGCCATTCAGCATTTTCAATTGATGAGGAACGAGGAGGGGCTCAAACCAGACGATATCACTTTCATAGGAGTCCTTTCTGCTTGTGTACATGCTGGGTTAGTGAAAGATGGCAAGCGTTGGTTCAATTCCTTGACACCTGAGTTTCAGATTATTCCCAAGATCGAGCACTACTCATGCATGGTTGATCTATTGGCGCGGAGTGGACATTTGGAGGAAGCGTGGGACTTCATCGAGAAGATCCCTGACAAGGTAGATGCAGTGATGTTGGGGGCTTTGCTTGCAGCTTGTCGAAAATGCAAGAATGTTGAAATTGGTGAGAGGGTCATCAACAGGATCATTCAGCTGGAACCCACAAACTCGTGGAATTATGTGGTGTCATCCAAGATATATGCCAGCTCAGATAGATTGGATGACTCAGCAAAGATGAGAGGGCTAATGAGGGAAAGAGGTGTCAACAAAACTCCAGGTTGCAGCTGGGTTGAGGTTAGCGGGAAAGTCCTTGAATTCTATGCAGGGGACGAACCACAGCATGGTGCAGATGATATGTATCAAGTCCTAGACCTACTGGTTGATGAGATGAGGCTGGAGGGATATGTTCCAAATCTTGATGTGGTGTAGCCCATAAACAGAAGCAATTACTTTTAGCTGCTGAAATGTTACTGAATTTGTTTCTGGATTGGTGTTTATGTCTCTGAGGCTGTTACTATGTGGATATGTGATACAGGGAACCAGTTTTTCCCCCTCACAGCAGCAGAAGCAAAGTCTAAACAGAACTAATGGATGTCTGAGATGGAACATTGCTAACAAAGCATTTCCAATCATTCAATATGACCAGATATCTGGACTAATCCAGTGCATTATGCTAACTGAATCAGCATATCTGCGCTCTACCACGCTCTTCAAATTATGGCATGGTAGGTGCTTCAGTGGCTTGAGCTTGGGATCCATGAACTTATTTGACAGAGTATTAGCCACCCTAGAAACTTTCAGCAGATAGGTAGACAACAGACAGGTATCATTTTATGATTTGATTTCATTGATCATAGAAGTTGTCTGAACATGCTAGATAATAGGGAAGGCAAGAATGGGAAACAGTGATTGCTAAAGAGTGTAAACTGTAAATACAACAGTCACATAGAATGGGAACTGTTTCCACTGTGCTGATCTTTGTCTCAGTGATTCTATCATCACATTTTGGCTTTGTTCACTTTTCTTGTTCCAATTATTTTATTCTTTGTCAAAATTCACATATCAACCATGGCTTTATTGGGCATAAAGTATTCTTTTGTTGATTAACTAATTTTATTCATATACATTGCAGCATGCTGGAATGAACCATGTGGACCTCTTTAAGTTCAGCTATTGTATTCTGTAATGTCAACCAGATTTCACATAAGAATGGAATATCGCCAATTACATAAATGCTAAGGGTTCATTTGGTTTTCTGCAGGAGGTCCTGCCCTGGGCTAGTGTATATGCAGCCATCCATTGTTTGGTGTCCCGCAGCCTGCAGGTGGGATGTGTCTTGGACGCCAAATTTGTTTCTCTTTGGCTTGGTTGGCACGAGCCAGAAATGGTGAGTCATGCCAACTGTCTCAGGTTAACATCCTTTGTGACACAAGTACACAAACAGGTGAAGCCTGGTTCAGCAGTGCAGGTGACCAAACGCCAAAATGTGGCATTGAAAACAGATACAGGTAAGGTAAGTCGACTCTTGTTGATGTCACATGTCCACTTACTGATAGCATAACCAATTTTGTTCACTACAGGTAGTTGTCCTTTCTTCAGTTTCCTACAGCATATCCTACCTAGAACATGAGTTTCTGCTATACAGATAGAATTAACTCAAGAATATTATTTAATGTCTAGTCCTAACCTACAGTCAGATAATTCTACTTTAAAAAACTCAGATAAATCTGGTTTGTTTATCTTCAGGTTTATAGTGGAAACATGGATGCCAAATGGCTCTTGATGCAAAAATGGGTGAAGCTATATTATTTTTCTGAAGCTTCAGCCTTGATCAAGTTTGCAAGGATCAGATGTTCAAAGAAAGGCCACAGAAAATTTCTGGGACTAGACATGCAAATGAAAAAAATATCACATGAACCACAATGATGGATATGAGAAGGTCAGTCTTAATCTGCATTTATACGTTGTTGTTTCTTGGAGGCATTTTTCGTTACAATCTAGGAGTGTGTATTAATTGATTTGAACTGAAATATTCTTATAAACCTTCGAATTTATCTGCTATATATTAAATACATGAGCCATTTTTCTTTTGTGGGAACACTAGGGGATAACTCTATTGTTACAGTACAACATAACACAAGCCTCATTAGTGTTCTCTACTTCTGATATTTTGCATCACTATGTACATTGGTCCTCTTAGTCTACTATGCCATATTGCACGTTGTGTGTAAGTACCTACAACTGATCAGCAGGGCCAGGGATTAACTTACAAAGAGAGACAACATTAGCAACTACATATGTACATCTATATTCTTGTTCTTTACCACAAACATAGAGTGCTTAGCTCTTCTATTTGCTATCTGGCTGAAGCTCTGCTGGTCTCATATTAATGCTCACCGTGAGTGCTATCAACTGCGAAATGCATAGTAAGACTGTAAGAGTTAATATCAAAGTTCATATACAAGTTATCCATACAAAACAAACCATATCAATAACATGTTCCACTATGTAGCATACCATTGCAAATCCAGCACAAGCAAGGCTGAAACCTCTGAAGTTGAAAGGTGCAGTTTCTGATAGGAACCAAGCTGTGAAGCCAAATGGAGAAAATTATGTTTATTTTAAATCATTGCCTAAGTTTGAGGGCAATTGCAGTGAATGATGAAGTAAATGTGAATGCAAAAATAGGTAAATTAAAACTAGTTTGTATTCAGTTAAAATGCACTCATAAATATCATTAAATGGCATACCAGTGAGAGGAGAAAAAACTATAGGCGATATCACATTTGCAGTTGAGCTTATTCCAGTGAGACACCCTTGAACCATTCCCTAGTTTAGTGTTTGAAAATTTCATCATTCAAATAGAGTTGTTAGATGACCAGCTCCATGTAGTTCATGGTGCATTTCTGTAGATTTACACAATCTAGTAGATGTGAACTATAAATTCCAACCTGCTCAAAAGGCCCTGCTCGTTTGGATACAATGCTCCTTATCTGTTACAAATAAAATCATCACATACTAACATGACTTAAAGAAACCAGAAGGTCACACAAGGGGAAAAAAAAGATGGGGCACTTGTATGTTGCTACTTACAGAAGGGTTGACCAAAATGCTTACAATCACAAAGCTTGCACCAAGATAAGGAACCTTCAAGAACAATGTAGCATTTAGCTCAAACTAACTATGAAAACTTCAATATGGAAAAAAACAGCAATACAGCATTGATCAGTTGCATACCCATGGCGTCCATGCTATGCTATATATGAATGCCTGCAGCAGCATGCACAAGATGACATCAAATTATTCTTGCAGAAAATTAACAAAAAGCACTTAACATGAGTATGAAAGCAAGCAATGTTAGTTCTTACATGAACGCAGCCCCCCAAAAGTGCTATAATCAGTAGCTTCTGCTCACCCAACTTTGGTGCTAGGATAGGCATCATAACTAGCTGTACCATAAGTCATAATCTGCTTTAGGTACCTTAGGTACAACCTAAGCAATGTAATGATCATAACAGGAAAGGCACTGTAGAAATTATTATGAAACAAACCTATACCTGTGAAAGGCTTCCAGCAATGCCAATAACGAGCAGCAAATTGGCATACTGGTTCTTGCTATATTGGAATTGAACCTTGAGGAAGTACTGCATTTGTTTTCCCGAACACAGAACTGTTAGAAGCATTTCCTTTTAATGTGGATGAGGTATTGAGGTATATTGGAAGACATCAACTTCACCAGGATGGTGTGACATCAGACTGTTTATGATTCCTACTTACTGAGTCGTTCCAAGACTACCCTTTCAAAGTGTTTACATCACTAAAATTCACATGTATGTATGTTATGCTTGTCTATAGCATCTTATCTTTTCCTACCGGAGAAAGAAGTGTACCAGTATTGCAGTTTGCAGGCCTGTCTCTCCAAGGCTGTAGAAAAATATGACAAGTGATTCTCTCGAGAAGGTTGAGCTGAAAGTTATTCACAAGCATTCAGCAGGTAATTTGCAGATTATGTCCTTCGTACATGCATATCATGTTGCAGTTTTCATTGATCATTGACGCTTTTTGATCTATCTGTAGTGTTGGTATCAGGGAAGGGGAGTTGTTACATCATGCTGGACTTCAGTCGTTGTCAGATTGAAATAATCAACTCTATCGACAGGGAGTTGGTAGGAACAGTACTAATAACTTGATGTTTAAACCTCTATATGTTCCTGCACTTAGGTCTGGCCGGTTAATAGCTCACTATTTCAAACTGCACAGTAGGTCGAGTTTAAACTCTAAATTTATATATTCGTTCCTTTCGTCATCATAGATATTCTGTATTACATTTGGTAATTATTATGGATACTTATCAAGTACAGTTTTCAAATTCAGGCTAAGCTTATCTATGCAAATAGTAATCCCTCCACTCACGAAATGTTTAGGACAAAATTTTGGTCAAACTTTTGAGGTTTTGGAACTTTTTAAAAGAAAAAAAAAAGTATGCGATGTGTTTATTCTAGTATTAAATTTATGGTCAGATTTTAAAAGTTCGATCAAATATTGTTCCAAATATCAAATATTTATGACCAAAAGGAGTATTAATGGAGCTATATAGCTGCTCTGTTGGTTTTTGCATTGCAACTGAGGAGCCCATTTCATGTTTTACCGACAGGGGGGCTGCACTCTATCAAAAAAAACAGGGGGCTGCACAACATGTCACCTGGTGGTAAGGAGATCCGCCATGTCCGACAGCGACAGCGCTTTCCGGAGAGGCGGAAGCGTCGGCGGCGCAACGTCCTGGCTGCTGCTGCTGCTACAGGAAGGAACGCAAAGAGGATGGGAAGAGGAGTTCTCGTCGCCGGCGGTGGCGCGGAGCAGCGACGCCCCGCCGTCCGTCTCCTTGACGAACGCCCTCATGTACACCGCCGCCGCCGCCGCCACCACGGCGGCCACCTGAAGGTAAGCAAACACCAGTACACCACCCCAGGATCAAACAACTTCCGCATCATCTGCACAAGCTGACCAATTTAATTACCCCGTACGCGGATCGAACGGACATGCCTGGAACGTCGACTGGACAGCGAGGAAGCGGGCCGCCACCGTGCCGGCGACGAAGCCGGCGAGGCAGACGCCGGAGAACACGCCGAAGGCTGCCGCTCGCCGCGACGGCGGCACCTTGTCGGCCACGTAGGCCAGCGAGAGGCAGTGCATGCTGCCCTCGGCGACCATGGCTGTCACCATCCTGGTGATGTAGTAGGCGTAGAAGAAGGCCTTCGTCCGGTTGCACGCTAAAATAACTAGATTGCACGCCGGAGAAGCAATTATTAGAGATTAAAACAACTCTGCAATTAAAATTCTTCCTCTTAAGCATATATATATGCACTTGATTATGCAACAAATTAACATTTGGAAGTAATAATAATACCCAACGGAAGGATGGATGCAGTTGCAGGGAGCAGCAACAACGCCTTGCGACCATATTTGTCCGACAGGTTGCCCACGATCGGAGTCGCCACAAGAGCACCCAACCCTGTAATCTGCACATAGCATAGTAATTGTCACACAGAATATTACGTACTGTGCCAGTTTAACTTTAAGGGCATGGAAAATAAAAGTACTATGTGCCAAATCTGTTGCAGTATTTCCCCGTTTGTATAGGCCAGATGCATCAGAATTCAGACTGGATTAATTACTCTTTGGTATAACAAAAAAAAAATCTATACTGTGCTTCTATATTGTGTAAAGGTAAATTGTTTCGTTTTCCATCTCATTATTACATACCCTGATCAAAATATTGAATTTTCCTAAGATATATACTTAGGGGCTTCTTTATTTTAGCGTAGGCTTTTAAAGTGGCTTTTCAGCCTTTTCTATAGGTATAAGTTGATGGCTATTGAATCTTAAGTTTAAAGGTGAGTAATAACTCTAATTCATAGAAGCTAAAAAGATTAGGTCTTGGTTTAACACGGCTTTAGAAAAAGACAAAATTTGCTATATGACTCAAAATTTGTTGCGATGCCGTCGCGGTTGCCAACAGCGTCTGGCTGTTCCTCCCGTCATTGTCGTCGCCGATGGCCTCAACATGCTGCGTGACCGTGCCGTCCGACTACGCCGAGCGGCTGTCTGCCTTGGGCAAGCCGCTCGCAACAAGTGAGCGTTGGAAGAATACCGAGAGAAGAATGAATAAGATAAATACAAAATTGTCATTTTAAGTGGTTTCTCTAGTTTCTCTCTAATCAATTGGATGGATATTATATTAATGCGTCCAAAATTCTATAGCAAATTACCACACTTTTGAAGTGTCATCGAGCAAATTCACGTTTTTATATGGTGTCCCAACTAATTACACATATTTTAAGTGTCATGTAGCAAATTTTTGTCTAAAAAAATTGATGCTAATATTATTTGATTGTTTAGGTTTCAGTTTCTTACTTATAAACCAGCTAAAGAAAAGCCTTACTATGGACTTATTTTTAGTATAACCAATTAACTGCTACAATAAATAAATATTATGAGATAGTTGCCACAACTATATATACAAAAGCCAACTCAAGGAACTTGACACTACTTGATGCGCGCGCGTGACATTTCAAGATTTGTCAACTCACGTCTAATAATCGATATAAGTATGTGTTATATCATATATGCGGTAAGTACATCAGTGAACAATTATGACGTACAACATATTCAAATATAGAAAATTATTGTATTATTAACTTATAATTGGGGGAGGGGAGGGAACCATATAATAGTAGCTTCTCCATATCCCGATAGGTCCTTGGTGTCGTTGTTCCATCCTGTTCACTTCCCATCCCCACCCCTCCACTATATAGCTCCACTATTATATGGTCTTTCACTATCTGTAGCTAAAAACCCTCTATAATCCCAAACAAAGGGGCATATGGATAGTAAACTAGATGTCACCTACTACCTAACTATATATTTAATATATATCATTATTGCTTTTCAACATCGATCACTAATTTTCTATTTAAATATAATAATAATAATAATAATAATAATATTATTATTATTATTATTATTATTATTATTATTATTATCATCTAATAAATAAATTATATCGTAAAAGTAATTAGAAAGAAAAATCTACGTTTTTAAACTTAAATATTTTGAAAGATAGTTAAAGTTTTAATTTTTTATTCAATTAATAAAGCCACTAAAATCATACATTCAAATACCAAATAGACCAGTACACTATAAACGTGACGCGTGTACATCCACTAATAACAGACAGTTCCTCCTGCAAGCAACAAGTTGGAATTGTGATCGTGCATGCGCGTCGCTGTAACACAGTACTAGCATGGAAAAGAGAGAAAGGAGAGAGACATGCCGCGCTGTTCGTACGTACTCCGAATATCGCAAAGGAGTACGTAGCGTGGAGCGACGCGCACGCGCACGCGCAGCAAGATGCGATATAGGGGGTCTCGATCGATTTTACCCCAAATATCGCAAGCGCTGTCGCCGCTCGCCACGGCCAGGCTCCACACTGCTTTGTCGTCGTGCACTTGGCGCGTTGGCCTCGCCTAGTTTCAGCTAGAGCGACCCATCATTCATCGGGGCCCGGTTGATCGGTACGCAGGAGCCTTTATATAATAATAAATAATAATAAAGCCGGGATATGACCTGATTTCCTTTTTCTGAAATATATAATCTGTTTTTTCTGGACGAGTTTATGGGCCGGGCGCTCGATCGGTTTGGAGAAAAATCGGGCGCTGACAGCAGCATGACGTCAGCGTCCGATATACGTGCAAAACTACTTTAAACTAATTTTTCTCTTAAATTACTTATCCAAATCATGATCCGATTGCACCATTAAATTTGTTGCAATTAAATCTTCAAAACAAGACTACACATGGATATATTCCGATGAAAACTTTTTTAGCTTATTATTGAATTATTTTTAAATGTTGCACGATGTTTCACTAGGTATATCGGAATTGTTTCACTAAGTAGATCAAAAATGTTTCACTCGTATAAATCGGGTGTTGTTTCACCTTATATAAAAACAATGTTTACGAAAAGAATGTTTCAGTTCACTAACATTTGATCCATACATAGTGAAATATTATAAGTACACTATGTGAAATATTTTTCGGTGGAACAAAACATAAAACGAATCCCTTACAAGAGGTTTCAAAATATGTAGGTTTTTTTATTGTAATGGAATATTTCAGTTCACTGCAGCATTAGATTTATACATAGTGGAACATTGTGAGTACCTAGGTGAAACATTTCTGGTGGAACAAAAAATAAACTATATTATCTTAATATAGAGTTTCCAAAATATGTAGGTGATTTGTTACATGTGGAGGTAAGGACCGTGGTCGGCCCAGGTGGCATACATGCGCGCGGGGGCAGAGAGCGGGGGGAGCGCCGATTTTTGCAACCCCGCTGGTCGTCCGATCTCTCATTCTCGTGTTTTTTTTTCTTTCGATTACAGAGAAGATGCAGGTATGTGCACGGACCTACGTGGCTACGAGTAAATCTTCAAACATTGTACACAAATTTTGGTGTACGCTAAATCCTGAATATCTGGATATGTTGCATTTTTATTAAAAGCGTATCATACGTGTGCGTAATATTTATGGTCACCATGACCGTGATATTGGATGGAATATAACTCTATTTCATGCTACTAATGGCTCCGTTTTAATTATATATCCAATTTTATCTGATTAAAGTTAAGCATGAGTGACAAAAGTGATAATATATAAAACCTAGAATTTAAATTTAGATTCTAATATATTATATTGGTTCTAATTAGTATAAACCAATGCTGAAACAGGGCAGATCCAACATTGGAGGTTCCATTTCCCTTATTTAATTTTTTTTTGCGGCAAAGCGGCACTAATGACGGTCATCTGTCCCCGTCGCTTTCATGCACATCGATGTGACATAAGAGCACTTAATTAGTTTAGTCACTTCTTCTTTAATTACTCGACTTCTTTTTCATTACCGTGGTATTAACAGTTAAGGCACTTTGCTTAATTAATCAAAGACGTACGTACGCTAGAAGCTCTAGCTAGCTTTCGACATATTCGGGAGGTGTGGTACCTGGTAAGAGCAAGTTCAATAGTATAGCCAACTACTGGCTACAAATTATCTGTAGCTAATTTAACAGTATATTCATATAATAGTTGTGTATAAAAGTATACTATATCATTAATACTAGGTCATACCTCTCATACACACGTCTTGGAGTCGTGTTGCAGCCGGCTATAAACTGCAGCCCGTTTTCTTCTCTCTCTTCTTTTTTCTTCTCGATATATGGTTATAACTGGCTTATAACTTGCTATTGTATCTGCTCTAAGAGTATAATACAATTAATATTGGTCGGTGCGACATTTTACGGTGATGTTCTAGATGCCTTTTTCCTTCTTTTGACAATCTGCTATCTGACCAGAATGCTTGGAGTACCGACACCGCTAAGTAGCGGGACAAACCGAACCAATTCAGTTTTCAACACTGGATTATTAATTAATACTCAAGCCCCCCTCAACCACTGGATTATTAATTAATACTCAGCCCCCCCCCAAAAAAAAAACTTTCTCCCCTATTTAAGTTTTTGGATTTTTTTTGTTTGGACGATTTTCAATCTCTATACAATTAATATTTCCGTGTAAAATCAAAAGGTGTAGTTAAAAAAACACAGAAAAGAAGGTCCAGTTACACGGAAAATAAAAAGAAAAATAGAACTAAAAGCTGCCGCAGAAAAAAAACCACTAAAATTACACGGTAATATTGAACTACATATGGCCCAGTTAGAACTTAGAAGGTGCCATGCAGCTGCAGCTGTCCACGGATTGAAAAACAGGATGGATTATTAGCGTATGATCAATTACATATTAACTATTATAATTTTAATTTACAAACAGATTTATTTGATATTTAAATAATTGTACATAGAAAATGTTTACATGGCTACGAGTTTGAAAAGGATGCTAATAGAAAATGAAAGTTACTGAAAATCTATGACGTCCTTAAAAGTTCCAGACAGCTAATACTCCTTTCGTCCTTAAAAGTTGTTCAGGTAATCGAAACTAAGTATCTACGTATGCCACATTAATTTGGAGAGTACAGGAGTACGATCATGAGTACTCCATCCGTCAAAAAAAAAACTTAAATTTTATCCCATAAAAAACTAATTTCTATCATACTATCTACTCTTAGCACGTAAAACGATCAAGAAGTTTTATTCCTTCAATATCTTTTATCTACCCATCACTTTTACTATTTTTTTAATAATTAAGGGAATTTTAGTCATTCCCAATTCCACCTTAGAATGCTAGGAATGAAATTTTTTAGCACGGAGGGAGTAAACTACTATCAATTAAATGAACGCCACAATTTTCTTTTTCGGGGAAGGACACAATTAACATCTCAAAGACCCTCGCAAAAAAATATCTCAAAGACGAAAATGAAAAAAAATAATAATGACGAAGACGCCATCTTTGCATTTCGCAGCTCACGCCATCTCCATGACCATAGAGAAAGGAAGCAACGTAACAGACCGAGAAAATCTCTCTCATCTCACAATCGAGAAGGGAAAAGGAAACTAACCCCAGCGACACAACAACTATATGCATGATAAACATATATTCCGAATGAAAGAAAAAAGAAAAACTATATATGATCATCGTCAACACGAGCGAAATATCAATTGATTTGCAAAGCGTTTACGTGACCTTTTGCCTCACACTATAGAGCTTTTCCCCTTTTCTTGCTCTTAGGGGCGGTATTTTTCTCTCGCTATATATAATAAAAAAGCACAGTCTCATGCTGTTTTTCCTTAAAAAAATTATCGATTGATCTGAGCTTAACTTCTAAAATGATGATATGGATGGATGGATGGATAGATGGATTATGGATGCATATCATGGATCATTTACAGCTGAAGAGAGATCGAAATTGAACAGATGATGAATCATGATATGCATGGATGATGAGCTAGCTAAGGTAGGTAGCTTACGGCTTGCTGGAGGCCGGTGAGGTAGATGGCGAGGGAGCACTCGTCCTGGCCGGGGCAGAGGGCGTCCATGGTCACGTCGGTCATCGCCGGCGCCACCATGTAAACGCCCAGGTTGAAGAGGAACCCGAACACCAGCAAGTGCCCCAGCTCATCCGCCATTTCCATCCCCTCTCTCTCTCTCTCTCCCACTTTGTGTTAGTGTTAGTGTGTGTGGGCGCTTTCTTTCACTCTCTCTATTTATTAATCAAGTATACTTCTTAGTCTCATGCTTCTCTCTGCTTCTCTGTCTCTTTCTTTCTAAATGGATCGGATGACGTAAGACTAGGGCCATACTCCCTCCGTCCCAAAAAAAAAAAAAAAACCTAATCCTGGGTTTGAACCTGGACACATGTGTGTCCAGGTTCAAATCCATTTAGGATTGGGGTTTTTTTGGGACGGATGTGTCCAGATTCATACTCAAGATTTAATATGATTAATTAACTTGTCAACTTTTAATGAGAATACAAAAGAAGCGCGCTTGTAACAATAGCATGGGTAGATTAATATTAGTACTCTTGTAAATTGTCGACATTGTTTTCTTCAAGGTTTGCTTTTCCATTGGCGCGATGTGGGGTGGATTTAATGAGATGAGATGCGTTTGATGTACTGCCTGCTCTAAGCATTGTCAGTTGTAAAACTCTTCCTTCAGTAGGTGTTTAGATATATGGTGTAAAGTTTTAATGTGTCACATCGAGTATTATATAGTGTGTCGCATAGGGTGTTTGGGCACTAATAAAAAAACTAATTGCAGAACCAGTCAGTAAACAGCGAGATAAATTTATTAAGTCTAATTAATCTATCATTAGCAAATGTTTACTATAACACCACATTGTCAAATCACAGAGCAGTTAGGCTTAAAAGATTCATCTCGCAAATTTACCGCAATCTGTACAATTAGTTATTTTTTAGCCTATATTTAATACTTCACGCATGTAGGTGTTCAAACGTCGATGTGACAGGGTGTAAAATTTTTGTGTGGGAACTAAACAGGGCTTAATACAAAGATGCGTAAATCTTGTGTGGGTTCTCTTAAGAAAAGGTTATGCTTTGCCACTTGTCTATAAGCTAAAAGTACATCTTTTGTAGGTAATTTTTTAACGCTATAAATGCAATTTTATTTTAATACAAAGGGGGTTTCTTGCAATTTAATTTAATTAAGGGATCCAAAAGATTGAGAAAGAAAAATTAAGGGAAAGGTGGTGAGACTAACATTAAAGGTATAGTACAGACACATGGTGGGATCAATAGCAGTTGCACTTACATCTCAACCAACAATGCGGTTTGGTTTTGCTCCCGATGAAAGCAAAGTCTCTCGTGCTTTCACTTTCGCCTATTCCCTTTTTTGTTTTTCAATATTTAGCATGATCCGGTCGGACCACGGAAGAGTATGCACGCCCTGTCATACACACATATGTGCATTATTGGTGGCAGGAAAAATATCTTATAATAACTGATTCAAATCCCTAATTGAGTTGAGTGAAATCCTAAAAGAAAAAGAGTTACTCCCTTCCACTCCATAATACTTAACGTTTTGGATAACGATACAGTCTCCCAAAATATAATTTTGACTATGTTTTCTATTATTTATATACAATACATAAATATGTTTCTACTTTTATTATATTAACTCAGCTTTTTTAGTATAATGTTGTTAACCTTTTGCATAACGCTTGGCCGTTCGTTTTATTTAAAAACTTGGTATTAATATTAAAAAATATAAGTTAAGATTGTAGTTTCTTTGATAATAAAATAAGTCACAAAAAATAAATAACAATTATAATTTTTCAAATAAGAAATATAAGTTAAGATTGTAAAAAATGTAAGTCACAAAAAAACATGGTATTTGTCGAGGAGTGATCCTTTCTAGCGGGAGATCGTGAGACTCCCCTTCGTGAGTTCAGCCGGGGGAAGAAGCTCGCCTCTAGAAATCGCGTATCCGTCCCCAAGGCTCCTAGCTAGCTCGCACACAACCAAATTATACAGGTTCGGGCCGCTATCAAGCGTAATACCCTACTCATGTGTATGAGATTTAGACTGATAGTTACAAGGGTTCCTAAACTCGGGAGAACACTCTTACTTCCCTCCTCCACAAGCTCAGGTCTTCTGAGAGTCGTCCCCATTCTCGGTGGGCAAAGTCCTCCTTTTATACCTCAAGGGGATACCACATGCACCGCCTCTACCTACTCTTCTTTCGGGTGGGAACCCACCCTATCTTGACTGGAACTCGACCCGTGCCTTCGCCTGGAAGCTAAACCACAGCTTGTCCTTGAGCGGGGCCCAGCGCCGTCCCTCGCCTGACACGGGGGACAGCCCTGTCATTCCCTCATTAATAGGTGAAGACTTGTGGTGGCCGCCGTCCGAATGACCCCCCGATGGGACGGGTCATACCTACCTCCACTCCGCCGGAAGCAGATGCGACGTGGGAGCACGGTTGTCCGTCCAGTCAGACGTGACTGAACGCGCTGATGAAGCCTAGAGGGGGGGGGGTGAATAGGCTGTCCCTGAAAACTTAAAAACAAATCGCAGCGGTAAAATTCAAACAGACCCGGAACTTCCTGGTAAGGAACTCCGGAACTTCCGGCATCTCAGGCCCGGAACTTCCGGTGTTCTAAGACAGGAACTTCTGGGTAACAGAATAGAGATGAAATTCAAATTTCGAAACAAGAGAGCCAATCTTCACAAGATGGTGCACAGGTATTCTAAGCAGAGGATATATCACAGAATCATCCACAGAAACATCACAGAAAGAGACAAGAGCAATTTTTTTCCGAAGTTCGTATCTTGCGATCCTACTCTCCGTTGAGGAGCTCCAAAGAGCTGGGTTTCGATTAACCCCTTGCCTCACTTGTACAAAAACCCTAGAGGAAATCCACAGCCTTCAACCCCAAACACCCCTAGGCAAATTTCTAGAATTGAGTGACCACCAAGATCCAACTCAACCTACTTCTAGAAATCCACCACAAGTGTGGGTTGCTCTACTTGGAAAGCCTCTAGAATCTCAGCACAAGAACTTCACTAACTTACCTCGTTCCCTTTCGGAGAAGAGGAAATCCTTCACAAACTTACCCGGGACATCCACAATATGCAACGGATTCTCGCGGGCGACACCTAACCGTCTAGGAGATCATCTCCAAGAGTAATAAGCACCGAGATGATAGCCCACGAGATATTCCAAGTGCTTACCCAAGATCCTAGTCTTCACACCTCTCCAAATCTTCTTCTCTCCCTCTCAATCTCTCATTCACACACGAATTAGGCTCTAGATTGAGTGGAGAAGGCAAGAAACACTTGGGAGAAGCTAGCAATAGCTCTAGGTTTGAAAAGTGAAAGTGGAATGGCCAAAGAACGAGCTGGAAGCGAGCTGTATATGTATAACGGCTAGGTGACGTCATCTAGCCATTACTCACAAATTTGAACTGGAGACTAGACAGGAAGTTCCGGACCTATAGGACAGGAACTTCCGGACTATACTTAGGAAAAACTTTTTCACAAGACCGGAACTTCCGGACCTGGATGACAGGAAGTTTCGGACTTGCACTTCAGGACAGATGGAGTATTTGCAAAAAGGACTCCTAGGGAAACTCGACACTTGGTTCACACTAAGAGCACTTGACATATCTCTGAGCATCACCTGGAACCCCTCTTAATAGTACGGTTTTTCCTAAAAACTCGATTGCAATAAATAAACTATCCTATGCACTTCTCGAGTTCCGGTCCGCTTGATTTTATACTTTTGAGGGGGTCTCCAAGCATCCATCTTCCACACCTTGGACTAATGCATCTGAAAGTAGCTCAATAAACTCATTAGTCCCTTAACCACATTTGTCATTAATCACCAAAACCCACTAGGGGGATTAATGCACTTTCAATCTCCCCATTTTTGGTGATTGATGACAACATGGTTAAAGCTTACAAAAGATTGATATAAATTTTGTTTTAAATGGTTAGAGGTGAATAAAACACTCCCTTAGTGTATGCATATGGAAGATATGAGTGAAACTCATATGCATATCTATAAGGGAGCAACCGAGGAGAGTTTCGATCATCTCTACCCATTCGTGGGATGCAAATAAGCAGTAAAAGTAGACATGATGTGCAAAAGATATGACATGGAAAGCACTAAAAAAGGATAAGATCAACATCACATCACAAACAATAAATAAGACACTCATAGCATAAATGAAGAGCAGTATAAATAAAGGGCAGCTAAGAGCATCTAACAGACATTACATTCACACAAAAAGAGAATTAGAACATGTCCATGAGTTCTTAAGAATAGGGGTCAAAGGATTGCCAGGTCCAGAACTTCCGGATAAGAGGATCCGGAACTTCCGGATTAAACAGACAGAGCAGGCGGCAAGCATCAAAAACAAAATTTTGACCCCCTTCGATTGCAATTTTCTCCCCCTTTGGCATCAAGGCACCAAAAAGAGACAAAATTACAAGGGAAGAAGAGGATCAAGCCTCATCATTATCGCCATCAGAAGGAATGATCTCAGTGTCGCCGGAGTGAGGAGAGTCGATGTCTTGCCCGGCGGCGTCCACTGCCTCATTGGGATCTGTAGGAACATTCTCGGTAGGGGCATCTGACTTCTCATCATCACTGCTCTCCTCGGAGTGAGAGGACTCCTCATTGAAGAAACGAGAAGTGCCAGAGGGACCCTCACCACTAGCAATGTCTCGAGCAGTCTCATAAGCAGTAAAAGGATCAACAAACTCCTCATCATCAGAAATGTCAGAGACATCCTCCTTTTGACGCCTCTCTATCTTCTTTACCTTCTTAGCTGTCTTGGCACACATGCAAAAGATAGCCCTGAGAGCCCTCTTTATGGGAGAAGAAGACTCAGAACGCTGAGGTGCAGCAGAGGAAGAAGGAGTAGCTGACTTGGAAGCACGAGTCACTCTGGTGGTAGGAGTAGCTGAAGTAGTGGGAGCATGAGGACGGAAAGGCTTGTGTTGATTGTCCTTGAAATAACAAATCCCAGTCTTGGCCTCAATCATCTTCATGATATAAGGAGCATAGATGTAGCCCCTCTTTGGCTCACACACTGTCTCATAGATCTCACTCCAAATAAGCTTCATGATGCTGAAATCTGGCTTGTTGTAGCGCATGCGACTGAGGAGGAGCGCATGCCTACCTGGAAGAGCTGTAGCATCTCCCACTTTGGGGAGCAAAGACCACCTGAAGATAGA